CCTATAATCTCGGACTGTTGTGACTCTGGGGCATACATATTCCACGGACCCACTGGCTTGAAATCTCTGCAAGAGTCTACCAATAGCACTCTGACTCACATAAAAGCGGACAGCAACCTGCCGCTGAGTTTGACCAGATTCCAAAAGGCCTACAGAAAGTGTAAAGGAACCGCGTCTCATTTCAAACAGGTAACTGAACAGTGAATGGCAGTGAAAAAGCATCCATGTATTGTCCCCACTTTCCATGGATAGAGCGACATGCACGTGCAAATCATTAACGTTAAGTGGCAAGTGGATTTACATATTGACAATTTGAATAAAGAATGTGCCATTTGTAACAATGTATCGGACGTTAAAGAACGTAATAATGACATTTCAACGGCTTGATGTGTTTTCCATACTGTTAAGAAGTTTGTAAAACAGTCAGTTGTATATATTTCAAATAAAAACGAAGATTTTACATCTTTTAAGAAATAGTGTTACCAATAGCTTGACCCTTCATTAATGACGCCGAGTATAGATACTTTGAGATATTTGCACTGAGGTTAAAGATTAAATTTGCACTAAAGACACTATAAGACAGACCATAAGGTTAGTATCAGCCCTATAAAACTGCAAATTATATATTCACTTTTGAAGTAGCATTGTTGTGCCGCTCAGTGACGGATAGTGGATACACGAGTCAGTTTTATATTTCTTACAACACTGATCTGTAGTAGTGTGCTCATTTGTCGACGGCGAGGAGATTTTTTTTAAATAAGATAATACTTTATTCCTTAGATAACAGATAATATATCGTCTTCTGCGGTGTAGCAATATTTTGGTATTAGATAACAAATCATTAAAATCATAACACAGTCAATGAGGGAACGCCAAAGCAGAAGCGTTTGTTACGTCTTCCGAAACGAGTCAAAATTCTACAACATGATATAATAATCGATGTTGTTATTTGATTTTTGTATTCCTAAAAAGATGTTCCGAGGACCGACTGATCAAAATGCTGTGATTTACACAAATGTTCTCTTTTCAAAACCGTTTCGTTTTAACTATTCCAGAAATACATTTAAAATTTGAAATGGGAATAGTCACACCTTTATCAGGACATCACCGACTGGTCAGTGTTTGTTGTATACTATAGACTGCTGTTGTATTGCTGGTCCGGTGGGGTCACTGATAACATGGAATAATAATCCAGGCATTCAAGGATGAAGATGAAATGGACGAGCTGGCCGCTGTAGCACAAGACGCGGGGATGGTGGAAGTGTCATTGACCGATACACCTACCCACCCTGCCCCTGTCTCCAGAGGTATGAATACAAGATGCAAAACACACATGAAGTACACACACTCTAGACCAGCACCACCGGTCATAAAACAAAAAGAAAAAGAAAAAGAAAACCCCAAAACAACATGTAATAAAAACACCCCGGAAACAAACCAATGTAATACACAAATCAAAACCACACACCTACATACAGTTCTTGTCCGTTCGACATATTATATACTCACTCACATAGTGAATTCCAGAAGAAACGCGAGTATTACAAACGTTTGAAACAGGAAATAAGACATAAACCAATCTTCCATGCTCAGATAACTATTGTAATGCCTACTAATGGAGGCCATACTCAGATTTTATATCAGCTTCTTTCAATTATTGAAACATTTCCCCACACACTCAGACGCCAACACATGGTGATTTTACGAACGCTTTAATGGCAACTGAATGCGGGTACCGAAGTCAGTTCGAATCGGGCTGTTACCCACACACTAAGGCAGGTAAATGTGGAATTGTACTGAAATTTAGTACATCTGAAATTTCATTTAGACCCAGACCGCAATTAATAGCAAAGTCATACAATACAACAACAGAAAACAAACAAAAAACGGTTAACAGCCCCTCACAACTAATCCTCACTTGAGTCGTCTCTGAAGACCAGAACATAAACTAGTGGGTATCTAATACTATCTTCACCCATTCGGATTACCCACAGAATCATCAGGCTGCTAATTGCAAGATAATCATTACAAAACACTATGCACTGTTATGTTCAAGCGTATTGCATTGGAATCCAGGTCAGAATAGGCCTCCATTCACTATGACAGATGACTGAATTGATTGGGTGGTTGATCAGGTGCATCGTATACCCCGAATCCTAGCTCTCAATGTCTGTCATTGGATTGTGTGGCCCAGACAAGATGGGCATTTCTTGTACAGAATATTAGACGTCAAGACCCACATGGGAACTGTGTGGTGACAGGGACTGCCAAGTACATTATGAAATACACATTGTTCCTTTGTTTCAGTCAGTGATGGTGAGAATGAAGTCTTCAGCCTCATCATGGCCACGAAGAGAAAGCGAGACGAAAACTGAACGTCTAAAATGGAAGAGATTTCAGCTGGAGCTCACCACATTTGTTTCTGTGCTGTACATAGATGGATTGTCTGTTGAAATACACCAGGAACAATAACATCTTGGTTGTGTGTCTTTACCTCTGCGTGATGCTTGCTCTGCTAGAATTATAAATAGTATGATCCAGTGTACCTTTTAAAACAACACACTTTGTGATAGTCGCTGTTGTAGTGGGCATTGATCCCAACTTGAGCATTTTTCATACTGTGACAATATCAAAGTATTAAGCCTCATTCACATGGACACTTTTACTCACCTGTACATTAATACTTACATACCTATATTTACTTGTGCTGGCATGGGAACGCTTATGTTTACATGAGTAATATACTCCTGGAGTAAATGGACATAAGTAAAAGTATATTTGCTACACCTCAGCAGGTCAAGTAAAAGTATACTTGCTACACCTCAGGAGGTCAAGTAAAAGTATATTTGCTACACCTAAGGAGGTCAAGTAAAAGTATATTTGCTACACCTAAGGAGGTCAAGTAAAAGTATATTTGCTACACCTCAGGAGGTCAAGTAAAAGTATATTTGCTACACCTCAGGAGGTCAAGTAAAAGTATATTTGCTACACCTAGGAGGTTGCTACACCTAAGGAGGTCAAGTAAAAGTATATTTGCTACACCTAAGGAGGTCAAGTAAAAGAATATTTGCTACACCTCAGGAGGTCAAGTAAAAGAATATTTGCTACACCTCACGAGGTCAAGTAAAAGTATATTTGCTACACCTCAGGAGGTCAAGTAAAAGTATATTTGCTACACCTAAGGAGGTCAAGTAAAAATATATTTGCTACACCTCACGAGGTCAAGTAAAAGTATATTTGCTACACCTGAGAGTAAAGTATAAAGGTCAAGTTATGCACATACAAGTAAAAGTATATTTGCCTCAGGAGGTCAAGTAAAAGTATATTTACTACACCTCGTAAAAAAGTATATTTGACATACACCTCAGGAGATCAAGTAAAAGTATATTTGCTACACCTCAGGAGATAGTAAAAGTATATTTACTTGTAAATATGAATACTCTTGGAGTATTTTGGTCATATGAAAGGGTTTTGAGATATATGTAAGCATTTTATATCCGTGATACTAGAAATCACTAAACAATTCTAAAGTATTTATGAGTCAGTAAGTATTCAATACCTGAAGATACAGGTTAAAATTGATCTTCATGCCCATGCTTGTTCTAAGAGGCGACTAATGAGATCAGGAGGTCAGGGTTGCTGACTTGGTTATTGCATCGTATCCCTGTTGCGTTGATCAAAGCGCTTTGAGCATGCATGTACATGGGATGGACTATAGCGCTATATAAATACCCATGTAATAATAATCAGTTTTCGTAATGTCAATCACTGGATTGTCTGGTCCAGACTCGATCATTTGCAGACCGTCGATACATCGACTAGGAGGAGTGAATGGTCACCTGCTCTACGGTTTAGATTAGACAGAAAATCCCATTTATATTGGATGTATGCCTTGATAACATTAAACAATAATATAACGTTTCAGTGAATTGACTTGTCTTAACGCCACTCTGGACAATATTTCTGTTTAACACGGTGTGTCATTGTGGCATGACATCCCCAACAAAATCAGGCCTTCAAAGTTTAACGCATTGGTGAAACAATCGAGTGAGTGAGTGAGTTTAGTTTAACGCCGCATTCAGCAATATTCCAGCCATATGTCGGCGGTCTGTAAATAACTTGATCGAGTCTGGTCCAGACAATCCAGTAATCAACAGCATGAGCATCGATCTGCGCAATTGGGAACAGGTGACATGTGTCAGCCAAGTCAGCGAGCCTGACCACCCGATCCCGTTAGTCGCCTCTTACGACAAGCATGGGTTACTGAACATCAATATTCTAACCCGTACCTTCACAGGTGTGAAACAATCGAACCCATGATAGAATATTTCTTACACGCCTGTAGGACAAAGCTCTGCATAAAGCCCATACAACTGGTTTAGCATATTTTCAAGAACACATTAGTGAGCTGGGTTTTAAACCGTTTTTTTTTAGCATATCACGGCGTATTCAAACATTGCACCCATGTGGAAAACACGGGCAGTCGGCGTGACGAGCGAACGCTTTAACCACTAGGCTACCCCACCACCACCCAAGAACAAATTAAAGAAACTACCTTATTACGTACTAAACTAAAATGTTCATATACGAGAGTACTTCCAATGAAGTGGCAAACCTCGACGTCAAATTCAAAAAAACATTTCCTGAGTATAGGAGTTGTATTTAACACCGTGGTGACAGGAACGTCCCAAGTGAGGCAGGTCTTGTTAGCTTGCCAGTATGCGACATCAAGCTGTGTGGATATGATTGTGGACATATACAGTGGTGTTGTATGTGAGGTTATGGGGTCATGCATGTGTATCTATTTTCAAAATGTCTTGTTATGATTACTCTCAGGATATGGACAGTTGGATGAAAAAATATCTAATCATATGTTCATTACACTCAAACAAAATATTTCCACATGAGGCATCGTCTATCTTTGTTTATTTATAAACGAAGCAGAAGTTTTAGTCTTGATGTTATTTAGTGGTATGTGAATGTCTTAGAAATCAGAGTTATTTCCCTTAGATAAACAACGTGAGTATTGCTCCCGTCTCTCTGTGCACTGCAAGTTAATGAAGGGTGACACATACTACGGGATCGTCATAATGTAAGAATGCAGAAGTATTTAGTCACAAGTTACACATGCTACACGACAATCATTGTGGCATTATACCGTGTATCATCAAAATTCAGTATGCCTGTTCGGTATTCGATCAACATAAATCATCCCTTGTAATCTTGACAAGTTGCAGTTGACAAGCTTCTGTGGATGTACCATTTAAAATCTCTGAGCAATTTCAGTATACTATATATCTGCTACAATGAAGATCTATATTGTCTATAGGATCTTTATCAGCAGATGAAAATGGGCACATAATAATACGTAAATTATAATTTTGAAACATTCGAAATTGTAAAAATAAACATGCTGAGTTTTGCTACATTTGTTATGTCTGTGAACACTCAAGGCTGGGGACACTAAACATTCACAATTTTTCCCAGTTAGCAAATATGTCATATTGCCGTTAATTGTTTCGGATTCTAAATATGCTTTACCAAAGTATATTAATATTATGATTAAAGACATCACATATATGTTTCACAGATTATAAAAGTTTATTGCAATCATGTTCCCATGGAATCTCTATCTAATCTTTTTCCAGCTTGTCATAGAAAGTGTTGTAAAAGCTTGCAGATAGCAAGAGAGCGAGCTGTATGATTTATTCACCCAGTGACATAATAACATAACACTATGTCTGATGATGAAGAAATTCCTGACCTTGTTCTATCAGAAGCAAAGAAAGTTCCCATCACAATCATAACAGGATTTCTAGGTAAGATCACTAAGAACTAAGGAGGTGCTAGATTTGATCTCCTATCATTGGTTAAGAAGTAAAATGTTTGTGAAAACCGATCAGTAATTTGAATTATTTCTTTTTTCAACAGTCATTTTGTGACATGCAGATAGATCTCTTAAAACAAGCACTAGCACTGACTTCATATCATTGTACCTCAACAGAGTAAATCAGTCTGGTTGGTTATTCACAAACTGCCTTGATATAGCTGAAGTATAGCTGACTGTGGCATTAAATGATTGATCAGCATAAAAATATCCATAACACTGTTGGTGCAATATAAGGCCTCCCGCGAGACTGGATAGTCACGCATGGTGACTGGATAGTCCACGATAGCCGGTGTGTCAAGATTTGCTGTTTATTTAAAAATTAACAAATTATTAGGGCATATTTGAACAGTGACACTAGCAATTTTAAAGTTATTTCCACCCTGACAACCACAATCATCAAATTCTCATCCAATTTATGTGGATAATTATCACCCTGCTGCTTACCTGTATTGGGAGTTTTGTCGGATGTTAAACAATCCTCCCAAACTATCTTCATGCCTTAGATCAAATTGTTGGAACCCTGTTGGTATTCCAGTACCCCATGCTAAAGCACCAACTAAAACGAGGATAAGGGGGACACAATGTGTGACCTGGTTGTGTTTGTGTCATGTTAAGGTTTGCTCATGCTATCTACCATCAGCGTGTCAGACCCAGACTATTTGCAGGCTGATGGGATATAGCTGGAATATTGCTGTGTCTTAACGTAACACCTGTATAGTTGTAAAGAAACTTCTGTTTGTTGGTAAAGTAACTCCTGTTTGTTGGTAAAGTAACTTCTGTTTGTTGGTAAAGTAACTCCTGTTTGTTGGTAAAGTAACTTCTGTTTGTTTGGTAAAGTAACTCCTGTTTGTTGGTCAAGTAGTCCTGTTTGTTGGTCAACTCCTGTTTGTTGGTAAAGTAACTCCTGCTTTGTTGGTAAAGTAACTCCTGTTTGTTGGTAAAGTAACTCCTGTTTGTTGGTAAAGTAACTCCTGTTTGTTGGTAAAGTAACTCCTGTTTGTTGGTAAAGTAACTCCTGTTTGTTGGTAAAGTAACTCCTGTTTGTTGGTAAAGTTCCTGTTTGTTGGTAAAGTAACTCCTGTTTGTTGGTCAAGTAACTCCTGTTTGTTGGTAAAGTAACTCCTGTTTGTTGGTGTAACTGGTAAAAGTAACTAACTCCTGTTTGTTGGTCAAGTAACTTGTTGGTAAAGTAACTCCTGTTTGTTGGTAAAGTAACTCCTGTTTGTTGGTAAAGTAACTCCTGTTTGTTGGTAAAGTAACTCCTGTTTGTTGGTAAAGTAACTCCTGTTTGTTTCCAGGTGCAGGGAAGACAACTCTGCTCAACTATGTTCTCACAGAACAACATGGGAAGAAGATTGCTGTCATTCTGAATGAGTTCGGGGAAGGTTAGAGGGAATCAATGTCTGGAAATATTCATAACAATCAAGAGTTCCTTCAACAAAACACAATTGTTTGTTTTGAAGATATATGCATTTTCCATTTATTATGTATCTTTTGCATCTTAACCCCTGAATATCAACACGCATACATGCCACTGGACTGCCAGTCAGATTAGATATTGTGTGCAGAGACCCACCTTTGTATTTATAAAGGTTTTGGGCATACAGGAAAACGTGTCTGTTTAGAGTTAAGAAAACACAGGGTGCAATTGTTACTTCTAAGGCATACATTGCATAAAGTGGCTGTTGTACTGAATGAGTGCAAGTCCTTGGATGTTCCCCAGGGAGCTGAGATTGCAGTTTTAATGAACACTGATGCTGCCACTGGTATAATGCATATTAAAATGTCATGTGCTTTGAACATTAGTTGTTTTATGTGTAGTCTTGTGTTCATATTATGATAACTTTTCACATATAATGATTGCAGGAGACTCCATTGAGAAGTCTATGTCTGTTGGCCAGCAGGGGGAGCTGTTTGAAGAATGGCTGGAGTTGAGGAATGGTTGCCTGTGCTGTTCTGTCAAGTAAGTTAATGTCTACTGTTCTATCAAGGAAGTTGGTCTGTGAAGTAGGATGGTCTGTGTTTCTTCTGTCAAGGAAGTTGGTCTGTGAAGTAAGATGGTCTGTGTTTCTTCTGTCAAGGAAGTTGGTCTGTGAAGTAAGATGGTCTGTGTTTCTTCTGTCAAGGAAGTTGGTCTGTGAAGTAAGATGGTCTGTGTTTCTTCTGTGAAGGAAGTTGGTCTGTGAAGTAAGATGGTCTGTGTTTCTTCTGTCAAGGAAGTTGGTCTGTGAAGTAAGATGGTCTGTGTTTCTTCTGTCAAGGAAGTTGGTCTGTGAAGTAAGATGATCTGTGTTTCTTCTGTCAAGGAAGTTGGTCTGTGAAGTAAGATGGTCTGTGTTTCTTCTGTCAAGGAAGTTGGTCTGTGAAGTAAGATGGTCTGTGTTTCTTCTGTCAAGGAAGTTGGTCTGTGAAGTAGGATGGTCTGTGTTTCTTCTGTCAAGGAAGTTGGTCTGTGAAGTAGGATGGTCTGTGTTTCTTCTGTCAAGGAAGTTGGTCTGTGAAGTAAGATGGTCTGTGTTTCTTCTGTCAAGGAAGTTGGTCTGTGAAGTAAGATGGTCTGTGTTTCTTCTGTCAAGGAAGTTGGTCTGTGGAGTAAGATGATCTGTGTTTCTTCTGTCAAGTAATGGAGAGACTGTTTTATATTCTGGGTGGCAGTCCTAAACATGGGTTATTGGAAGACATAGAATATTCCACTCAAACTCAACATGTTTTCTCATAAACCATTTACCAGGACCTGCAGCATCTCCAGCAAAAAGTAGCCTCTCTTTTCGTACATCTTGGAGTTTTTTTAGTAGAATAATGAAGTGAATTTTGTGAAGTGAGTCATCTTGTTTGTGTTTGTTTCCTACAGGGACAGTGGGGTGAAGGCCATTGAGAACCTGATGACCAAGAGAGGGAAGTTTGACTACATTCTGCTGGAGACCACCGGCCTAGCTGACCCAGGTGACCATTAAGGATGACCGTGGGGATCACAGTCACATTCCCTAGTCCCTAGGAGTCATAAGACAGTCACATTCACTCGTCCCTAGGGGTCATAAGACAGTCACAATCACTCGTCCCTAGGGGTCATAAGACAGTCACATTCCCTCGTCATAAGACAGTCACATTCACCCGTCCCTAGGGGTCATAAGACTGTCACATTCACTTGTCCCTAGGGGTCATAAGACAGTCACATTCACTCCTCCCTAGGAGTCATAAGTCGGGTCACATTCACTCCTCCCTAGGGGTCATAAGACAGTCACATTCACTCCTCCCTGGGGGTCATAAGACAATCACATTCACTCCTCCCTAGGGGTCATAAGACAGTCACATTCCCTCGTCCCTAGGGGTCATAAGACAGTCACATTCACTCCTCCCTAGGGGTCATAAGACAGTCACATTCACTCCTCCCTAGGAGTCATAAGACAGTCACATTCACTCGTCTCTAGGGGTCATAAGACAGTCACATTCACTCCTCCCTAGGGGTCATAAGACAGTCACATTCACTCGTCCCTAGGGGTCATAAGACAGTCACATTACCTCCTCCCTAGGGGTCATAAGACAGTCACATTCACTCCTCCCTAGGGGAGTCATAAGACAGTCACATTCCCTCTGTCCCTAGGGGTCATAAGACAGTCACATTCACTCGTCCCTAGGGGTCATAAGACAGTCACATTCACTCGTCCCTAGGGGTCATAAGACAGTCACATTCACTCCTCCCTAGGGGTCATAAGACAGTCACATTCACTCGTCTCTAGGGGTCATAAGACAGTCACATTCACTGCTCCCTAGGGGTCATAAGACAGTCACATTCACTCGTCCCTAGGGGTCATAAGACAGTCACATTCACTCCTCCCTAGGGGTCATAAGACAGTCACATTCCCTAGTCCCTAGGGGTCATAAGACAGTCACATTCACTCGTCCCTAGGGGTCATAAGACAGTCACATTCACTCGTCCCTAGGGGTCATAAGACAGTCACATTCACTCTTTCCTAGGGGTCATAAGACAGTCACATTCCCTCGTCCCTAGGGGTCATAAGACAGTCACATTCACTCCTCCCTGGGGTCATAAGACAGTCACATTCACTCGTCCCTAGGGGTCATAAGACAGTCACATTCACTCCTCCCTAGGGGTCATAAGACAGTCACATTCACTCCTCCATAGGGGTCATAAGACAGTCACATTCACTCGTCCCTAGGGGTCATAAGACAGTCACATTCACTCGTCCCTAGGGGTCATAAGACAATCACATTCACTCGTCCCAGGGTTCGACCTGTGTTCGATTTCCCACATGGGTACAATGTGTGAAACCCATTTCTGGTGTCCCGTGGTGTGATATTGCTAAAACCAAACTCACTGCCACGCACGCAGGCGCATGACGCAGTGCGCACTCACTCACTCACTCACTCACTCACTCACTCACTCACTCACTCACTCACTCACTCCACCACTCACTCACTCACTCACTCACTCACTCACTCACTCACTCACTCACTCACTGAGTGCCATACTTTAACATAGACTTACAACAGTCACAGTGCTAAGGTGATCGTAGCTGCCATACTTTAACATACACTTACAACAGTCACAGTGCTAATGTCGTTTTGTGAGACAGGGTCCTGGTTCACTGAGCACCATACACTGCATGTGGGTTTAATGTAGAAAATGTTTCACAATCTGTTACGCCTTACTTCCACTGCAAGATGACAAGCCGTGATAATCTGAAGTACTGATCAATGTGATGCTTAACTGAAATGGCTCCTTGAGTATAAATTTATATTGTGTGAACAGATATAAAGCTGTTTGTATATTTGCCAGGTCCTATAGCCTCTATGTTCTGGCTGGATGAGGAGCTGTGTAGCGATGTGTTCCTGGATGGTCAGTGCTTCATCCATCATACTTTGTATTTTACCTGAGGTATCAAAGTCATGTCATTTATGATATCAGATTCAGTTAGCATATATATGAAATGTATTTTAAAAATATTTGGGTCAGTCTGTGTATTTGTGACATAATTAAGGCTTGAATGACAATTGAATGGGTACTTTTTCATTCTTTTTAAAATTTGGGGCGGTGGGGTAGCCTAGAGGTCAAAGCATTGGCTTGTCACATCGAAGACCCGGGTTCGAATCCCCACATGGGTACAATGTGTGAAGCCCATTTCCAGTGTCCCCTGCCGTGATGTTGCTGGAATATTGCTAAAAGCGGCATAAAACCAAACTCAGTCAGTTAGTCTTTTTAAAATTTGCACCAATATTTTATTTGAACATGTGACACTAATTTTAGGGTTCATGATGATGGCTGAAACTTAGTGTCAGTACTACAGAACCCCAAAAAGCAGATGGGACGCATCCTTCACCAAGCAATACATAATTGAAGTTAATGGCTTGCAACTTTCCATTCTGTCCATGTTATGAATCGAGTCATGTATGTCATCTTCTTCCAGGCATTCTGACAGTGGTTGATGCCAAGTTCTGTCACCAGGTGGGTCAGTCTGTGTTTTATTTTGTTCATGTTTTGTATTCATATCTTGTTACCAAAATTGTCTGACAAAGGTCAGACTTGTCAGAGGTAAGCCTGTAAACAGCAACTAAATTCATGTTAATGTACTGTTGTTTTGATTGACTGCTTGTGGTCCATGGTTTGATGTTTACATCACTGGTTTGTTTGGCTCAAAATGGATTATTTACATTCTGCTGTTATAGCTGGAATATTGCTGGCTGCAGCATTGACAACATTCAGTCACTGAATTACCAATGCCAATTTACATCACTACTTGTGTACAAAAATAATATCTTACAATGACAAAGGTTATCAAATATTTAGCACATATTTTGAGTGCTATGTGCAGATTTGTGTTATGTTGGTTACAGTACATCATACCTGAATCTTTTAAATAAACAAAACAAGTACTTGTATGTCTTTCGTCTTGAATTCAGTTTATCTTGTAAGATTTAACAATGTTATTTACCTAAAGAAAATAAGTTCAATTGAAATTAAACAAACACATGTACTATATCGATATGTTTCGTCTTGAATTCAGTTTATCTTGTAAGATTTAACAATGTTATTTGCCTAAAGAAAATAAGTTCAACTGAAATTAAACAAACACATGTACTATATCGATATGTTTCGTCTTGAATTCAGTTTATCTTGTAAGATTTAACAATGTTATTTACCTAAAGAAAATAAGTTCAACTGAAATTAAACAAACACATGTACTATATCGATATGTTTCGTCTTGAATTCAGTTTATCTTGTAAGATTTAACAATGTTATTTACCTAAAGAAAATAAGTTCAACTGAAATTAAACAAACACATGTACTATATCGATATATGTTTTAGGCCTTTGAATTCAGTTTATCTTGTAAGATTTAACAATGTTATTTACCTAAAGAAAATTCAACTGAAATTAAACAAACACATGTACTATATCGATATGTTTCGTCTTGAATTCAGTTTATCTTGTAAGATTTAACAATGTTATTTACCTAAAGAAAATAAGTTCAACTGAAATTAAACAAACACATGTACTATATCAATATGTTTAGATCTTGAATTCAGTTTATCTTGTAAGATTTAACAATGTTATTTACCTAAAGAAAATAAGTTCAACTGAAATTAAACAAACACATGTAAATATCGATATGTTTAGGTCTTGAATTCAGTTTATCTTGTAAGATTTAACAATGTTATTTACCTAAAGAAAATAAGTTCAACTGAAATTAAACAAACACATGTACTATATCGATATGTTTCGTCTTGAATTCAGTTTATCTTGTAAGATTTAACAATGTTATTTACCTAAAGAAAATAAGTTCAACTGAAATTAAACAAACACATGTACTATATCGATATGTTTCTTCTTGAATTCAGTTTATCTTGTAATTCAATGTTATTTACCTAAAGAAAATAAGTTCAACTGAAATTAAACAAACACATGTACTATATCGATATGTTTCGTCTTGAATTCAGTTTATCTTGTAAGATTTAACAATGTTATTTACCTAAAGAAAATAAGTTCAACTGAAATTAAACAAACACATGTACTATATCGATATGTTTTGTGAGGTTTATGTCACCAGCGCTTGCAGAAAACATTGCCGAGATACTTTGACCAATTACTGTTAACGAAGGTGAAACATTCTCTGCTTACCGATATATGTAAATGATTACTTGACATGGAAACTAAGTGCAATACCCTGTGTTTGGTTTACCCTTTAACAGTTTTAGACATGTGCACACAAGGGATCCCCTCATACTCATGTCAGCTGACGTGTGTCGTGATATTGATAACAGTTGTAATTAGTGAAGGACTCTAACGGTGATTCAGGTTTTGTTTGATTTGTTTCCAGCAACTCAGGGAACAGAAGGAAGATGGGGCCATTAATGAAGCTCAAAGGTAGAAATTTAAAAGGGAAAATTATTCCAAGCTAATATGATAAAACAATTTAGTACAGGGTTCGAAATACCCCATGTATTAGCGTGCCATGGCACAGTAAATTTTGAAATGGCACGGATAAAAAATGTTTTCGGTGCCCTTATGGCACGCCTAATTTTTTAGAGACATAACTCACCTTCAGTCATTTAATCCCCAAAACAAAACACTTACGCAAATGACAAACAAGCAAAATCATTTATTGACTTTATCGCCCAGGAAATCACTGGAATTATGATTGATGATGTAAAGAAATATGGGTGTTTTTCCATTTAGAGTGATGGGAGTACTGATAATTCGGTTATTGAAGAGGAAATTGTGCATGCTAGATATATTGAAAAAGTGAACCTGTCACAAAATTCTTTGCTATCAAAGGTCTTGGGAAAGCAGAACAAATGCATATGAAGCTCAAAAAAGCCATCTTAAACAGAAGACATGGGGTGCGGTGGGCGAGCTGGCTAAGGCGCCAGGCTAGTGATCCAGCGAGGTTGAGGTGTTGGGATTGAGCCCACCTGTGGCCGGGTGTAAAAACCTTGGAGTCAACTTTGTGTTCAGACTCTTTCAGTGTTGTCACAACCCCTAGTGTACAGTACACAACCCTGTGCACTTAAAAGAACCCACGAATCTGTTGGTATTTGATCAGATGGTGGCCACATGAATACGTGCAAACACCTAGTTGCGGGTACAGCAATGTGCAGTGAACATGGACAAAGTACTGTGACTATGTGTCCCAGTCCACCCAGCTGTGAATGGGTACCTCGTTAGGATGAGAAAGCCACAATAACTCGGTGCGCCTAGTGGCTGCAAGAGTTGTATACTCCCCAGGGAGTTGAGATTGATAATGCGATGTGCTGTTGAGATTGACATCCAATGATCGAGGGAAAAAAACACCAGCGCCTTGCGCATGCACTAGTGCGTGGATATGTGCGCTATATAAATATCCTATAATAATAATAATAATAATAATAATAATAATAATAATAATAATAATATCAGTGAAAACAGAAAACAGGTTACATTTGTTGTTTACTAACAATAAATTTCCAATGATCATCATCACTGCTACAGTCATTTATTCTAAAAACATATTGGCTGAAAGGCACATCTAAAACATTTGTCTGGTGCCCTAAGGCACACTTAGAAAATAAGTATTTCTATCCCAGTAGTAGTGAAGGACAGTGCTGTGGGCGTGGTATTGCCCATTCCACCAAGTGTTGTAGTAGGGGAGAATTATCTTGGTGCCCAAGTGAAGTCAGTGAATCAGTATGCATGTTATATCAACCCGTAGTGACCACGACTGTAAGATGTCTCTGATTGGTTGTTTCCAGACAGGTCGCCCTGGCAGACGTGATCCTGGTAAACAAGACGGACCTTGTCTCTCCAGCTGAAATAGACACTCTGCGGGACGAAATCAGGTGAAAATATATGTCTATAGTTATCTTCCGGTAATAAATACAGAAGGAGTGGTATCTATGATCTTAGCTTAGATTTGACAATTACTAAATGATCAGCTGGTTGTAATACAGTGAACATTTCACCACGTGTGTGCGAACCGTGTTTGCTTGTTATAGGAGGCCATGCTATCTCCACTGGTACAATCCTTGGTGTACATGACTATTCAGCTCACAAGATGTGCTAGATCTCTCCACACCTCACTGTAGTTAACAATGCTATATTCATGAAAGGACATTCATGTTCATGGTTTGTTTTGTACTTGTACTTGGTAGGGGCAGTTTGTTGTAAGATGTAATATAGCAAGTAAATTTGCCTTATTGTGAAATGTTCGGAATTATGACAAACATGAAATGAATTTCAGTACTATAGAACCAGATAATATGGATGGGTGTCCGAAGCAGATAGCACACGTCCTTCTGCAAGCAATACATAGATGCTGGGTGCCATTGTTGTAAATATTAGATACTGAAAGTTAACTATTGCCTGCAACAGTAAATTGAATAATTTTGTGTCGCCTGTCTAAACGGTGAATGATTTCTTTAAGACAGTTGTTTTTCTGTTCAGGAAAATCAACAGCTTTGCCAAACTGAAGGAAACAACTCGAGCCAAGTGAGTGTGTACATCAACGTGATGGTGACCCTGTCTGGTAATGGTGGCTGTGGTTGACTTTAGGAAACATTCAGATGGACTTCAAGCTTGTTCTGCAATAGTGAAATGGCACATCAAAGAACACAATTTTGAAATGATGTTATAATGTCAAAAAATGATATATGAAAGTGCAGACTGCCAAGGTGGTATAGACTTTTTATCAGATAATTGTTTATCTCCTTGTAGCATATCACACTACGTCCCTGTTTCCCATTCTTGTCTCCCTATGTGATCACACTACGTCTCTGTTTCCCATTCTTGTCTCCCTATGTGATCACACTACGTCCCTGTTTCCCATTCTTGTCTCCCTATGTGATCACACTACGTCCCTGTTTCCCATTCTTGTCTCCCTATGTGATCACACTACGCCCCTGTTTCCCATTCTTGTCTCCCTATGTGATCACACACTCGTCCCTGTTTCCCATTCTTGTCTCCCTATGTGATCACACTACGTCCCTGTTTCCCATTCTTGTCTCCCTATGTGATCACACTACGTCCCTGTTTCCCATTCTTGTCTCCCTATGTGATCACACTACGTCCCTGTTTCCCATTCTTGTCTCCCTATGTGATCACTCTATGTCCCTGTTTCCCATTCTTGTCTCCCTATGTGATCACACTATGTCCCTGTTTCCCATTCTTGTCTCCCTATGTGATCACACTACGTCCCTGTTTCCCATTTTTGTCTCCCTATGTGATCACACTACGTCCTTGTTTCCCATTCTTGTCTCCCTATGTCTATAGGTGCATGGGGATGGAAGGGGGAACTTTCAGATCACACTACGTCCCTGTTTCCCATGCTGTCCCCCTGTGGGTGGGTGTGGGGACTTCCACACCAATCCCCTACACCAAGCGACTGATTAGGACCCGGGGGTACACTCTGTCACCCGAGTGTGTGTCATTTATTGAGCTGGATTATTTCTAAACTGCTGTAAAATAACATTCATGCGTTGCCTACGACATACATACATACATGTGCTGTGGTCGGAGTGCTGCAGTAGACACCCACCCACACCTACTTCCTGGATTCTGGCTACAAAAAAACTTAATGTGGTTGAACAAACAAACAAACAAACAAACAAACAAAGACCCCACCTCAGCAGCTTGTTGTCACTGTGGACGATGTTTCAGGTGCAGTCTGGATGATGTGCTGGACCTGAACGCATACGGAGGTCAAGGTCAGGCAAGGTACAGTACATATATGCATTAGGAATCATATAAAACATGGGGCGGTGGGGTAGCCTAGTGGTTAAAGCGTTCGCTCATCACGCCGAAGGCCCGGGTTCAATTCCCCACATGGATACAATTTGTGAAGCCCATTTCTGGTGTCCCCCGCCGTGATATTGCTGGAATATTGCTGAAAACGGCGTAAAACCAAACTCAGTCAGTCAGTATAACACATGGCTGAATCCTAATGTTCTAAACGTCTGTCATCATTTCAGTTGTAATGAAATTTCAAATTGAAAATACCTTTGCACTTTAAATGATGAAACAATGTTCCTAGTCTCTCCCTGAGCAAATCTCATCATAGTACTGTTTTATACTGATGCCTTCATTTGTCATCAAGTGAAATATGTTGGTATATGCAAATAGACGATGAAGCTGTGCTCTTACTTTATGGACTACAGCTGATGGTAGTGAAGACATGGGTTGTATGGCTCTTTGGTTGTAGGTCCAATCTCCAACTTAGTACACAAATGTCTTGTCTTAAACTGTTTTGAACTAACACCTGCACTGTTGCAATCCATAAGAAAATGTGAGGATTTTTTTCACGTTTTTTATGATTTGAAATTGACATAGTTAGCCTGCTACATAGTTTTCCCAGATTAGTGACAATGTAAAATATTTTATATCTTATGTTTGTATTCAATAATATATCTGCGCACACATGCACATTTGATTTTATTTCTCTAGAGAGATTAATTGATTTTATTCAATAAGTTACATTAAGTATTGAAAGTAAAACATGGTGAGTCAGCTGTACTTACACTGAATGTTATATTGTCAGTATGGAGGAGCTGTTTGAGAGACGAGGCTTCAACAAGGAGGATCAGCACCACATTGACAAGGTGAGCTATACTACTCCACTATATCTAGGGATATATCTTTACATGATACGACCCATGAAGATTCTGGTTAGAATTGGTCTTCAGTAACCCATGCTTGTCATAATAGGCCACTAATGGGATCAGGTTGTCAGGCTCGCTGACTTGGTTGACACATGTAATTGTATCCCAATTGCATAGATTGATGCTCATGCTGTTGACCACTGGATTGTCTTGCCCAGACTCGATTATTTACAGACCGCAGCCATGTAGCTGGAATATTGCTGAGTTCGGGGTAAAACAACAATCAATCAATATTTCTCTAATACACAAAACAGATCCTCACTATGTCAAGTGTATATTTTAACAGATCCTCACTATGTCAAGTGTATAATTTCAGATCCTCACTATGTCAAGTGTATAATTTAACAGATCCTCACTATGTCAAGTGTATAATTTAACAGATCCTCACTATGTCAAGTGTATATTTTAACAGATCCTCACTATGTCAAGTGTATAATTTAACAGATCCTCACTATGTCAAGTGTATAATTTAACAGATCCTCACTATGTCAAGTGTATAATTTAACAGAATGACCTACCTGATAAGCTGTATGAAATCTTTCTACATATTTTAATGTGACATGTTTTTGAAGGTCACCATTGATGTTTTATGGTTTTGAAATTAAAACCCACAATGAGACCGTGGTTATACAGTACTACTACGCAACAAGCCAAGTACTAGTGATGCTTGTATTTGCTTGGATGAAACTTAACTGGACAGCCATTATTTGTGTCATGTCAATCGACGCAGGTTCAATACAAAGCTGTAATTGTTAATGAGTCCAGGGTATAAATTATAACAGAATGAAGTATAGTGCACTAATACAGGTTAATTGAGGATGCAGTCCAGCTGGCTGACAGACATATGTGTCAATAAGTACCACGTCTTAGACCAGCTACTGTGCAGAAGATGTGTATTCAGTGATGAAATGATATATCAGTTTGAAAATATACAACTGGTTTTTCCAAGAGGTAAATTCTTCAAACATTCTGTTATTTTCGTGAGTTCAGTCACACATATTGCAGGGACTACTTGACTCAGTGACTATGGTTTTCAGACTAATATATGTTTTGAATACTCAGCTTGATTTAGAAAGTGGTCAGATGTAAAACATGTAGCAAATTGTGAATGCCAATTTACAAATGTCAGGGGGCTACACAAAGTATATCATCTAGATTTCCAGTTGTCAGACTTCCATTTTTGTGGAGGGGCGGTTGGGTAGCCTAGTGGTTAAAGCGTTGACTTGTCACGCCGAAGACCCGGGTTCGGTTCTCCACATGGGCACAATGTGTAAAGACCATTTCTGGTCTCCCTCGCCGTGATATTGCTGGAATATTGCTAAAAGTGGCGTAAAACTAAACTTACTACTACTCATTTTTGTGGAAGCCGCAGTGGCTGTGTCAGCTGTTTTGGTCACTTTGGTGGTTGCGATTATTTACCTTGGAAAGTGTAATCCCACGTCTAGCATTTGTTAGATATGTTAGAAATAACATCATCTGTAGAATATTTACCTTTTCTTGTTTTGCTGTATAACTGTTATTTACTCTGCATGATGCATGGAGCTGTGTATGAATAGCTGTGTGTTTTCATGCTTCTTTCTGCCTGTGTTGCCATGTTCATGGTACAGTCAGCAGTCACCATGCAGTACTGCATGATGGTAGTGTTGTTGTTACAGAGTGTGCGGACAGTTACTGTAGAGGTGGAGGGGGAGCTGTCACAGTCAGCGCTTGAAGACTTCATGCAGAACCTGTTGTGGGAGAAACTGGTGAAGACGTCACAGGGAGACGTCACAGAAATACTCCGTCTGAAGGTGAGGGGAAACTGACGTGTCTGAAACTTTTGTTACAATCTTGAATGACTTGACGAGTGTGTCATGAGATATTGTGAGGGGCAGCAACAAGTCCGACCCTTCCTGTGATGCAGAATCTTTTCATTGAAAAAAGCATTCTCTTGCATAAGCCTATCCATCTGAATACCTGTCTTCCCCATCACATGATGTAGCTCTACATGCCGTCGGACACTCCTTTTAGCATGCATATGAGTAGTGCTGGCAAATCAGGTTGCTAGTGTTCACATTTCCTTATAACTACAGAAACGTTCCTTCTGATGTATAAATGTTGTGTCAAGATAAAGCCTCAGTCTATTTCAGTGTAGGAATCATCAGATTATTTTAAATATGTCTAAATAGTTTTGGCAATAGTTGTTAAATAATTCCACGTTTGACATTTTGTACCGAACTCTTGAGACCTACAGCCCAGTTAAAGCTGGGTAATAAGGAGCTGGGTATTACCAAACTTGTCCTGAAACATATGTTGAATGATATAAGCTGAGACAAGAAACACTACATTTGTCAAACCAAAACTTCTTGATCATTTGGACCTTTCTTACCAATCTTAAAATCTGTGTTACACAGATTCATAGCATGTACTTAATTTTGTGAATTTTGACTATAACTGTGAATGTTGTTACGAGAGTGTTTTTTGTAGTTTGTGATAGCATTGGTTAGGTGATAGTGGTTGTGAGTCACAATGTTTGAAGTTTTGAGTGTTACTTGTGGGTCACATTTCGCATCATGTATGTTCGGTGGCGGTGCTGTTTTTAGTGGTACGCCCTTTATGATAACGCTCCAGAGTTACCACCCTTGACCGGATGTTTATGTGTTGACATCGTCATGTCGTATGTTCAACACGTTTCGAGAAAAATCTAAGTGGTTAATGATACAGCCATGTTTTGCTGGAAAGTTCGAGAATCTGTGTCAGTATATAAAGGCTGGCTGTTGTGTGGTATGACACGCAAGGACTGACACACGGACTAACACACAGAATTACACGGGACTTTCGATATCACTGGAGTTGCCCATCGTTGTTTGTCTTCGATCCTTCGTCACATCGCCATCGTCTGACCCTGACACTTTGTGCCTGACTGCTCTCATTTGTAAACAAGCTCCATTTAGAATATCTGATCTCACTGTGGTTACCACGACTCAGGTGAGTTAATATTTCATATATGTGACCCATAACTTTAGATTTGTGACTCAATTGCATTGTACTAGAAATCTGTATTGTGATTCATTGTAGCTTGCTCATTGTTTGCTCAATATATTATTGAATATTTTAGACTTGTCTGTGTTATATTTTGCTGGTTCAAAGGGGATTCTTAAACCTTTTGTCACGGCAATTTATTAACCGTAACAATGTGTTTGGACTTTTTATTTGGTTTTGAGCTGAGTGTTCCTCCCTTTATTTCAGGGCGTTGTATCGATACAAGGCTGTTCAAGGAGAGTTGTAGTGCAGGCTGTGCATCAGTTGTATGACTCGCAGATGACAACGCCATGGGAGGAGGGAGAATCTCACATTACCAGGGTGGTGTTTATAGGTACGTATCACAGACTGAACTTGACAATCAATCAATCCAAAATCAATCTTTTCCTCCACACAATAGATCTCTATGTAATGATTTGACCACTCTTCAGTCAATGAGCAAACAATTTAGCAGTTAATGAAATTTGAAACATGAATATCCTGAGCGAATGTTTTGTTGTTGTTTTGTCAATTCCTGGTTAGAATACATCCTTGCCCTAAAGGCAACCAAACGTATAGGATTTACTTTCTTGGTGACTTTGTCGCTCTTAATATCAATCATTAGTTTGTCTGGTCCAGATTCACATACATCTGTCATATAGCAGTTGCTGTGTGTGGTTAGAATGAACAAACAAATAAACAAATGATATACATAATTTCAGTTAACACATACAGAAACATATAACATCTCTTTCCATAAAGATATACAAGATCCCAAATTGCTGTCTTTGTTCACTTAGAGTGCACCTTTTTTAGACAGGATTAACTGAGACTTACAGTAATATAAACATGTTGTAATGATTAATTTCAAAATGCAAAACTTGAAAAGATAAAATTAAGTTGTATCTCTTTGCTATCATTTGACTTTGAAACTCTAGTCGTATTTGTGTGTTGATAAAGTAGTCAGTTGTACGTGAATCAGTATGTTTGCCCAAAAACATAATAACTCTTAGCTGAGGATCACAATTTCTTCCATACCATTGCTTATAATGTCTTGGAGAAATATGTAAAGTTAAGTTAAAGATGTTTGACCAGTCATATATGTATTTGGAAGCCCGACTAAATTCTCAAGTTTAACACTGTTTTATATTTTCAGGGAGAAATTTGGACAAACAAGTTCTCCAAGATCATTTAACAAAATGTGTCCAGTCGAACAGATGATCCATGGCGCATCTCATGGAGGTTCGAACAGATGATCCATGACGCATCTCATGGAGGTTCGAACAGATGATCCATGGCGCATCTCATGGAGGTTCGAACAGATGATCCATGGCGCATCTCATGGAGGTTCGAACAGATGATCCATGGCGCATCTCATGGAGGTTCGAACAGATGATCCATGGCGCATCTCATGGAGGTCCTCAGTGTGACTTGTGTATACATTCACCAATCTGTGTATATCATAAACTGAATATGATGAATTATAATAAATTATCAAGCAATCGCATTTCACCTTGGAGTTGATTTCATCATGCTCAAGATAATTTTTGACACGGACAGTTACAAACTGAATACACTTTTTTGAAACTTGATGCATAGGTATGTCTCAGTTATATTTTGATTTAAGAAAGTAACATCTTAAGTTCAACTTTGTTTTAAAAATGAATATAGATTTAGTTTAGTGCTATGATTTGACTGGAATGGATTCAGTGGTGAGGCATTGTGTGTAGTTCACTGATTGCATGCCATGTTGATCTGTGAGGAATCGATGATCATACTTTTAGCCACTGGTTCACCTGGTCCAGCAACGATTGTTATCATTCTGTTTTGTAGATAATTACTGCTACCCACGTGGGTTGAGGGGATAGCCTCAGTTGTTTACAGTTGTCACTCCTGTCTGTCGTGTTTGTTTCTCTGTGTAGGAACAGTATGTGAAACCATTTCTTGAAGTTGCACTCTTGTGGTTCAGTAGTGGAGTGACGTATAAAACTAATATATTAAGTCATATCTTAGTGATGTTCAGGAAAATATACTCAAACAAAAGTATCGTAAGCAAAACCACAAGCAGTCTTGTAATTACATTGTACTTGAATTAGGGTCTGTACATTACAAAGATGGATGTTGAGGAGAGGTGTGCCATGGCTTCCATGCTCTTGAAGATGTGATTGTTTGTGGATCAACTGTGGTACTGGGATGCAAACATTTGTCTGGAACCACAGATTTTGTGTTGTGGAAAGAGCTGTTTAATGCTGCAAGATATCATTGTGACGTAGCTGATGGTTGTCTTTCATGCTGATCAAGATCTCTCCTCCCCCCCCCCCTCTCTCCTTCCCTCATGCACGGATGCACGCACTTGCTCACTCCTTCGTTCGACATAGCCTTGAACTAGACACAAGAAATGTATTCAGTACCAGACATGTGAAATGCCTGCCTCACAAAAAACAATAATACAGTCCCAAACTAGCAAACTGTTGTTGGCTTGAATCCCATGTTTATTCTTATGATCATTGGTATGTCAACCCCATTCATCCCTGCTTTGTAAGACACCATCACTCCCAAGTATTTTGGACAAATTTAGCCGCATGCGCTGATATTGTTGTTTAATGGTGATGACCACGCAAGCCAATTATTCTAATTCTTATTTCTAAAGTTATACTTTGGTAGGTGCTATCACTAATAAAGGACAAACCCATGAAGATATGACTGATAACTGATCTTCAGCCACCAATATTTGTAAGAGGCAGTTAGTGGGATAGGGTTCTTGACTTTGTTGATGACTGTCATCAGATCCAAAACAAATGATAATCACTGGAGTATCTGGTCCAGATATATTTTTTTTACACCCAGCCTTCATGTTGCTGGAATATTGATGAGTGCATGTGGAAAGTTGAAAAGCGTTTTGTTCCTTTGTAGATTTGCTGTTCCATATTGTTTAAGTATGTTGAGGTTAGGCTTTGCACCAGACTTTATTCTGGTTTTGTGTGACCATTGATCACCCCAAACACCCACCAAGGAAAGGTAATCTATGAAGCCTGGTGGAGAGCTCATTATTGGCTGTTTTTGCGTCTTTTCATGAGGAATGTTTGATTGTAACTTGCCCATGTGCGGATTAATTCTGTGGTTTCCACAGACACATACAGAATGAAGTTGAACACTAAGTCATAGCTATCCCCAGTGGTATGCCCTTCTAACTGACATTCCCTCCCCTCCTGGTCACTTATAGTAGTTTGAAAATCCTTTTTCTGTATTGAGTGTGGTGAGTTAAGATTTAAAGTCACACGGACAGCATACACTAAAACTGAAGATTTGAAACATTATAATATAACACTAAGGACAGTCCACTAGCTTGAGTTAAAACTAGCTAACATATATCTTTAAAAGTAGAAAATTATTTCTGCCAATACAATTCCAATTGGGCTGATCAGAAGTTCACCATCTAGGGACCATGGGGACTTACAGACCTTTGCTAGATGGACCCTAGCTGGATTACACTGTTGGCGTTTATACCGTAGTACATTGAAAATCCTACGATTAAAACAAATTTAAATTTACTGTGTGGTTACGTACCCTCTCAGGAGGACTGTATGGTATACACTGTACACGTGTATAGAGTGGAGTGAGAAATTGACTTTATCAGCTTGTTTCTACACTGATCCATCCCTATATAGGTTAGTGTTGTCGACATTAGTCCTTTGGACATTGTATTTTATATTATTTTTACGTTTGTACTTGATATATATTTTCCCGCCCTTTTCCTTTGTCTAACTTTAAGCTATGGCTAAGAATAAGTGCGTGCAATGTCAGAAGTTCATGTCGGATTTAGACCCCCATTCTCTGCATTTCTTGTTTTACTGGTAATCATTGTACCCTGCAAGATCGCTGCCTTCTGTGTTCAGAGTTATCAGAGGTTGAGTGGTTAAGTATGGATTCTGCAAGATCTCAGACTAAGAAACGTAAATGCTCCCCGTCGTCGGAGGCTAGCAAAAGTAAAAAATCGGCTTCGGGATCCCCGCCATCTTCACAGAGATCTGAATCAAAATCAAAATCTAGATCTAGATCTAAATCGGATGCATCCCATTTGGACATTTCTGCTATCTCGTATTTATTTGCATCGTTTAAATCAGAGTTGCAAGCCTCAGTTAGTCAGTCCATGTATGATATGGAAATGAGAAATGAGACCAAGATGAATTCATTACAGAATCTGTTTCATGATGGCATTATGTACGGCAAGACGACCGGTGGTTGCACTGACTGGGTTGACGATGGCAAGAGCCGGGGGGCAAGAGTCAGTTTCTGTGAAACTCGGGGGTGCTCTACCTGGGAAAGCCGGGTATCACCTTACGACCGGATCAGAAGGCCGTTCCCCACAGGGGGAGAAGCCAGGGGCTTCATGTGACAGGGACGGGGTCAACCTGGCTGACCCCAGGCAGACTTTAATTGCGCTCCAGGCAAAACAAGCCGTGTCCCTTGTCCCTGTGAGTAAGGCGGTCACGCTTGATCCCAGTCACTCAAAGCCTGCTACCTTATCCCAGGCGTGTGCTGCAGTAATATCCTAGTGGGACTGACTCCATGCCCTCGGCTTGCGTCTCCCACCTTGGGTTTAATCAACGAGCCACGGCTGCCACGGGGGTTAGCGGTATCCAGGACCAGCAGTCCAGTAGCCACGTGCCAAGCGGGATTTCCACGGGAGCCATGGATAATTTTGACATTGATAAGCCACCGTTTTTACCGCTTGTACCGGACCTCTCGGATTCGGAAGCTACTTCTATTTATCCTCTCTCTCAACCAGAATTCGTTATGAAGGAGGGATTATTGACAGTCCAGCCTATGGATACTTCGGCCGAAGATTTTGTTCCTGGATGGTCTCTTAGGGAAAAGGTTGAATTAATCCATGGACTTTATCCAAGCACAGTCCCGCCACAGCCTGAGGAGCCGGAACGGGAGTTACCAGTGGAGCTGGGATCGTCAGGATGTCTGCCGCCGGAAAGGGTTCCCAAGCTATCTCTTCCTCATTCATCGGCACTTAAGTCGGCGTTGGATTCTTACAATTTGAACCTCTCCAAGGCGACTTCACTTAATGCATTACCCAAGATTATTCAAAAGCCAGTGTATGCTATTCACAATAGACTGATTCCACTTTATGCTCCGCATATGGACAAGGATTTCGCACAGCTACAGGATGCTAGAGCTGCCAGGGATTTTCCTTTTTCCTGTTCATCCAAGGATCTCAAGGACATGGATGTCCCGTTCATCCTTGGACATACTATCCTATACCAACTGGTTTGCTGCGGGAGTCCGGGCATTATTACCACCATTATTCCAAGATTATGAAGGAGTAAAGAAGGACACATTAGTATCCATGTCAGCCGAAGAAGTAGCCATGGCACACTCATTCTTAGATGTGGTATATCAATCTATAACCGACGCAACTCACAATCAGCTGTGTACACTTGGACGTTTAACAGCCATGGAGAGACTTCACAAGTTAGATTCAATTAGAAGTCTACCAGAGACAGCTAAAGATGTTTTATTTCAACAGCCCTTGGACTCAGAATCTCTTTTTCATGGACAATGTGGTCAGGCTATTCAAGTTAAGGATGCTTTTACATCACGTAATCTGAATCAGAGATTGGCTTCAGCTTTACTGTCACAAAGCAGGAATAAACCTCAGTCCAGACCGAGGAGGGATGTATCTGCTACTATTTCCCGCCAACCTTCTCACAGACGTCAGGAGCCACTGCAACGTTCAGCATTTGACAGGGCAGGAGACTCTAGGTCGCGTAATTTCTCCTCGTCAGCACCATCTTCAACTCGGGGCTACTCATCCTCTAGGGGCAGGGGGTAGAGGCACCAGGTTTTTTCGTGGCACCAGAGCGGGATCTAGGAAGTTTTGACTCCAATCAAATAGTCCAGTTTACTCAGCCTTACGATTTGGAAATGCCCCTCGATTTGGAAACAGACTTCGAATTTATTCTACCGGTATCCCAATCTCCCGTAGGGGGTCGGCTAGCACAATATGTGGAGAATTGGACACAGATCACCTCGGACAGCTGGATTCTATCAGTCATAGAGAAAGGTTACATGCTACCATGGGAGAGTCTACCTCCAGTAACCTACCAGCCGGTAGGGAAACGTTTTTTCCTGCAAGGGGATCGTCTAGCGGGAGCAGTAACGGCCATTCAACAACTGTTAGACAAGCAGGCCATAGTGGAGATTCCACCATGAGACCAGTCATGCTGGTTCTACTCCCCGGTATTTCTAGTTCCCCAAGAAAGACACGGAGGAGATGAGGATGATCATAGACTTGAAAGTGTTAAACAAGGAATATTTAAGGAAACCTCCCAAATTCAAGATGGAATCCCTGACCAATTTGAGAACTCTTATCCAACCAAATTCCAAATTCATCAGCATAGACCTGAAGGACGCTTATCTTCATGTACCAATACATCCTCGGTCTCAGAAGTACCTTCGTTTCGCGGTAAACGGACGGAGATTTCAATTCCGTGT